AGCTTCTGAAATAATCAATTTTAGAACTAGCCAGGAAGTGTTCTTTATTTTTATAACCTAGTCACTCACCTTAGGTGCTACTTACCTTTTAGGCAACTGGAGAAGCTGGTCATATAGTTTTACACAAAGCATTAGAGTAAGCATAAACGCAGACAACAGAGAGAATAAACAGCAGTAATGCTGTAGATGTAATTATCTGGATTTAAAATAACATTAATAAGATGGTTCATAATAAATTAATGAACAAGGTAAGAGAATGTAAAGTTAAGGCCAAGTGGCAGAATGGTTGCTAGAACACAACTCATAAATCTAATTCAGCTTTGAAGATATTCAATGACCCAGCCTCCACGGCTCTTTAGGAAAAAGAATTCCACAGACTAACAGCCGTCTGAGTGAAAGATTTTCTCTTCATCTCCGTATTAAATGGGAGGCCCCTTGTTTTTAAGCTGTGTCCTAGTTCGAAATTCCTCCATAAGAGGAAAGATCCTGTCACCATCCACCCTACCAAGTGCATTCAAGACATGCTTAACCTTTCCAACTTGGAAGGACAACCCTGAGTGATAACTGACCAGACCACTAACTGACTTATTGATAATCCCCAGGTCTGTTGCACTGGACCTGCAGAACTAACCAGGACCCACTCCCTGGAATATGATGATACATGATCCCTGACCCTGACATTCGATGTGTTTGGCACGGAATCGGCTGTCACATGCCGTATGTGAGACATTGATGTAGCACAGTGTCATATAGCTATATGTTCATCTCCTCAACTACTCATTGCTGGAAAACATGACAGGATGCCTGGCTTTGTGTCTGCATTGAAAGGCAAACAACACAAAAAAATGGAAAGGCTGTAAGTTCTGAACAAGCGAGGAATGCACAAAAAGGCAGGGTAGAGATAACAAGGTGTAGAGCTGGATGAACACAGCAGGCCAGGCAGCATCAGAGGAGCAGGAAGGCTGACGTTTCAGGTCGGGACCCTTCTACAGAAATGGGGGAGGGGAAGGGGACTCTGAAATAAATATAGAGAGAGAGGGATGCGGATGGAAGATAAATAAAGGAGCAGATAGGTGGAGAGTAGACGGACAGGTCAAGAAGGCGGGGATGGAGCCAGTAAAGATGAGTGTAGGTGGGGAGTTAGGATGGGGGTTGGTCAGGCAAGGGAAGACGGACAGGTCAAAGAGGCAGGGATGAGGCTGGTAGGTAGGAGGTGGGGGTGGGTGTTGGTCAGTGAGGTGGGAGGAGCGGATAGGTGGGAGAAAAGACGGGCAGGTCAAGGAGGCAGGGACGAGCTGGGATGGTTTTGGGATGAGGTCGGGGGAGGGGAGATTTTGAAACTTGTGAAGTCCACATTGATACCATTGGGCTGCAGGGTTCCCAAGCAAAATATGAGATGCTGCTCCTGCAACCTTCAGGTGGCATCGTTGTGGCACTGGAGGAGGTCCAGGATGGACATGTCGCGCCAAGGAGTGGGAGGTGGAGTCGAAGTGGTTCGCAACTGGGAGGTGCAGTCATTTGTCACGAACCGAGCGTAAGTGTTCTACAAAGCGGTCTCCAAGCCTCCGCTTGGTTTCCCCGACGTAGAGGAGGCCACATTGGGAACAGTGGATACAATATACCACATTAGCAGATGTGCAGGTGAACATCTATTTAATGTGGAAGGTTTTCTTGGGGCCTGGGATGGGGTTGAGGGGGGAGGTGTAGGGGCAGGTGTAGCACTTCCTGCAGTTGCAGGGAAAAGTGCCGGGGGTGGTGGGGCTAGTGGGGAATGTGGAGTGGACGAGGGAGTCATAGAGAGAGCGGTCCCTCCGGAAAACAGATAAGGGTGGGGAGGGAAAAGTGTCCTTGGTAGTGGGGTCAGATTGCAGGTGGCGCAAGTGGCGGAGGATGATGCGTTGAATCCGGAGGTTGGTGGGGTGGTACGTGAGGACAAGGGGGATTCTGTCTTTGTTGTTATTGCGGGGAGGGGGTGTGAGGGATGAGTTGCGGGAAACACGAGAGATGTGGTTGAGGGTGTTTTCAACCACTGTGGAGGAGAAATTGTGATCCTTGAAAAATGAGGACATCTGGGATGTCCGGGAGTGGAATGCCTCATCTCGGGAGCAGATGCGGCAGAGGCGAAGGAATTGGGAATATGGGATGGCATTCTTTTAGGAAAGTGGGTGAGAGGAGGTGTATTCCAGGTAGCTGTGGCAGTCGGTGGGCTTGAAATAGATATCAGTTTCCAGGTGGTTGCCAGAGATGGAAACAGAGAGGTCCAGGAAGGAGAGAGAGGTATCACAGATGGTCCAGGTGAATTTAAGGTTGGGTGGAAGGTGTTAGTAAAGTGGATGAACTGTTCGAGCTCTTCGTGGGAGCACAATACAGTCATTGATGTAACGGAGGAAGAGGTGGGGTTTAGGGCCAGTGAAGCTTTGGAAGAGGGACTGTTCCACATATCCTACAAAGAGGCAGGCATAGCTTGGGCCCATGCGAGTACCCATGGCCACTCCCTTAGTCTGTAGGAAGTGGGAGGAGTTGAAGGAGAAGTTGTTAAGGGTGAGGACGAGTTCGGCTCAGCGGATAAGGGTGTCAGTGGAGGGGGACTGGTCGGGCCTGCGGGACAGTAAGAAGCGGAGGGCCTTTAGGCCATCTGCATGGGGAATGCAAGTATATAGGGACTGGACGTCCATGGTGAAGATGAGGTGTTGGGGGCCAGGGAATTCGAAGTTTTGGAGGAGGTGGAGGGCGTGGGTGGTGTCACGGATTTAGGTGGGGAGTTCCTGGACCAGGGGGGAGAAAATGGAGTCAAGATAAGTGGGGCAGGAGCAGGCAGAGACAATGGGTGGACCAGGGCAGTCGGGTTTGTGGATTTTGGGGAGGAGCAACGGGAGGTGCGGGGTTGGGGAATGATGAGGTTGGAGGCTGTGGGTGGGAGTTCACCTGAGGTGATGAGGATGGGGATGGTCTGGGAGATGATGTTTTAGTGGTCAGGGGTGGGGTCATGATCAAGGGGGCAGTAGGTGGAGGTGTCGGAGAGCTGGCGCCTGGCCTCGGTGATGTAAAGGTCAGTGCGCCATACTACAACTGCGCCTCCCTTGTCCGCAGGTTTTATAGTGAGGTTAAGGTTGGAGCGGAGGGACCGGAGGGCTGCATGTTCTATGGGGGAAGAGGTTGGAGTGGGTGAGGGGTGGAGAGGTTGAGGCGATTGACGTCTCGGCAGCAGTTGGAGATGAAGAGGTTGAGGGAGGGTAGGAGGCCTTGGGGTGGTGTCCAGGAGGATGGAGACCTAGCAGAACCATTGCAATACAAAGTGCCACTGAGCTCCAAAGTGCAGCATTATAAGTGAATCCAAGATGTGCCATGAAGGTTTGATGAGATTGTTGCTTGTCTGATGCCAACCTACATGGACAAAGGATTCAGGTAGCCACTGCCCTTGAATCATGCCCTGAGATACTGGAAAGTGCTGGTCAAGATGGAGGCCTGTAGAAGCTGCATGAACTCACTCAGACTTTCTTGTAGGGAATTGCCATTGTCTAAATTCTTTCCACTGCCTGGAAAAATAGCAATTCGCGTGTAAATGAAGTGAGATTAAGTAATCATGATATGGTAATGCATATAAATATGCCTCTCGCTATTCACCTGTGAGATTCTCATCTTTCACAACTGACTCACCTTTACCTAGATTGTTCAGAGTCTGGGAAAATTCAGCCCTGGGTCTTTGCTTGATGTAGTCACTTAGCACAGAACCCAGGCTAAGGCTGGAAATTAAGGTTTTGGAGTAGATCTGTAGCTTGGGTTGTGGGTGTTGAGGTTGGTTGGCTCGCTGAGCTGGTTTGTTATTCCGCAGAAGTTTCGTTACTGTGCTGGGTAACATCCTCAATGCAGCCTCTGATGAAGCGTCGGTGTGTTTTCCCACCTGGTTTTTAAACTCTGGGGTCCGTCGCGATGGATTGCCTCACTTCCGGGTTTCCTCCGTAGTGGAACGTATATGGTGTCGAGTTCAATGTGTTTATTAATAGCATGCTTCATGGAGTGCCATGCTTCCAGAAATTCTCGTGCTTGTCTCTGCCTAGCCTGTCCCAGGATCTTGGTGTTGTCCCAATTGAAGTCATGGTTCTCCTTGTCCATGTGGATTGAGATGAGTGAGTATTGGTCGTGTCTTTTTGTAGCCAGTTGGTGTTCATGTACTCTTGTTGTTAGTTTCCTTTCTGTTTGTCCGATGTAGTGTTTCTCGCAGACTCTGAAGGGCATCTTGTAGATGACATTGGTCCTGTCCATGGCGGGGAATGGGTCTTTAGTTCGGGTGAGCACTTGTCGTAGGGTTGATGTGGGCTTGTGTGCTACTCTGATGCCCAGCGGTCGTAGAAGTCTTGTGGTGAGTTCTGACGTGTTCCTGATGTAGGGTAGTGTGATGAGTGTGTCGGGGCATGTAGAATCTTTCTGATGCTGTTCCTGTAGGCATCTCCTGACCCAGTTCTTTAGATATCCATTATCCTTGAACACTTGGAAGAGGTATTCCTCCTCCTCTTGGCGTAGTTCCATGTTGCTGCAGTGTGTTGTTGCCCTTTTAAATAGTGTTCGCTGGAAAGCTGGAAATTTTACAGCAGTGTAAATAGTTAATGTTGTTAATAAAAGCCAAGACACCTATCTCAATGAGAACCCAGTCTTTATGGGATATATTCCAAGGGCTTAAATGTAGAGGACATTCAGAGCATACCATATTGATAGTGCTCATTTACCCAGAAACCACAGCAATGACGTTAGATTTAATTAGGAAAAGATGGGAGGTGGCTCAACTGGAGCTTAAACATGGGCTGGTTTGACCAAATGACCTGTTGCTTTATTTCCTACGTCATTCTACGTACATTAAAGATGTGAAACATGAAATATAAAGCCAGGGGCTATATTTTACTAAAGAGCAGTTGAATGTCAATTTCATACAGTTTCAGGGAGGTGAAATAACTCCACAGAGGCCGGTACCCAGTCACCAAGTCACTCTTTATTTAAATGTGCATAGTACTTGTCTGGCTTCTTCAGAGCTGGCTGTCAAAGTGGCCAGAACCTCTGACATTCCTGAATATATCTGTCAGCCAGGGCTCCCTGATTAGACCAGGTTAACAGCCCTAATCGGCAAACTCATATCTTATAAGCTCCACCAGGCTGACCTTGTTCCAGTCATAACAGGAAGGTTTCTCTTCATGCACTGCTGTGAATTATCTCAAACAATTCTCCACTGCTGGCAAGAATTGTGCACAGATACAGTATTTTGAATGTATTATCAACATATTTCACAACAAGATTTCAAACAAACTACAGGGCAGATAAGAGGGAGTTGTGTTACAATAGACCTGGAAAGACTTTGAGTTTGTAGACAGGGAGATGCTCCATACTCCATACTGACAAACATCTTTAAAAAAAAACTGCTGTTAAAGTTAGTCTTGCATTCTGGCTATCAGTTTGTAAGGATGATAAATTACAAAAAATTCTCCTTGTAAGTTCAGTTTTTTCCGCTACATATCATTTGAAAAATACAGTGTGCGAGGAAGTTTTGCATCACTCAGCAATTCATGCAATTGCTTCTCACAGTTACAACTTTAGGCCATGAGTTGCACTTCTTACCCAGAAAGTATATTGTTAAAAGTTAAAATACATGTGTAATTTAACTGTTTTATTGAAAATGCTGGATGACCTGGAGCAAATTAACAAAGGATCATTGAGTCCTTTAATGGAAATGTCTCAGGCAGCATTGTGCGGTCTTATTTTCTCACTTTTTCATCGTAGGTTCCAGCTCCTTTGTAATTCCCGACGTATCCTGTGTTTTCAACTATGTTTTCCCTGCCACTTAGCCCTTTGCCTTTGCCACTTTCATCGAAACGTTCTTTATGGGTTCCAGTGTACTTGGAGGTGTCTGTTAGTCTATCAACACCTCCTGCTTTATATGCAACCTAAAAGAAGAAATGACATGCTTTATTACACCTGAAAATGTAAACAAAGAGAGATATCTGTTCTGTTTACAAAAATTGTAGTCAGTCATTTTTATAATAATGAACTTGTATTGTGCTGATATAAAATCCATTTCATGCACAGCAAGAAGTAAATGATTGAAGCAATATATGTATCAGAAAAGCAAGGAGAATAGAGCAGCAAGCTTGTGTGTATTTGAGGAAAGGTTAGAAAGGAAAGAAGGTCAAGACCAAGATCTAAGTTGGTAGTTCACATAGATATAAAAACACTTCCAGTGTCTGAGAATAAATTCTAGGAGATAAATAAATGGCTCACATCCTGAGTTTGCAACAATGATATCTTCTTAAATTGCAATTCCAGCAGAACAGAAAGCATTTATACAAAAATTCAATAGGAACTGAGGGAGTGACAAGGAACATTCAGTGAATACTGAAAAACTATTTCAACCAGGTACCTCAGGGAATAACCAGATATTAGCCTGAAGAGATCACAGAGGAAAGGTAACCTGCAGCTGAGTTCAGACACTGCAGCCCTGAGAAACATACAGCATAGAAGCTCAAGGACAGAACCTGATACTGAGGGACATGAAAGAAGGTAAATCTATTCTGAAATGCTTCTATGTAAATGCAAGAAGCTTTAAAAATTATATATCAGAACTGGTGCTGATGTCCGGTGAGGATGTTCACAAGTCTACTTAAACCCAAATGATTGTCTTTTATTATTGAGGAAGTGACAACAAACATACAGCAGTAAGCCTATGACATGCCTTCAAATGGACTTTGATAAAGTTTCGCATAAAGATTATTAATCAAATTGAAGCTGTGCAAATTCAGGAAAAGACTTAGAGGGAAATGTAACATTGTGGTAATAATACTGGTCTAGTAATCCAGATTTCAAATGCAATTAATTACTATATTTGAAATGAAAAGCAAGTCTTAGGAGATCAATGGTGTCCCTGCATCTGAGCCAGGAGGCCCAGGTTCAAGTCCCACCTGTTCCAGAGGTGTGTGATAACATCCCCGGTTGATTTGAAAAAATAAAAAGCAAGTCTATGTAATGGCTGTGAAATTACTGGATTAACATGAAAATTTACCTGGTTCACTATTATCTTTCAGGAAAGGAAATCTGCTATCTTTACCCTATCTGGCCTACATGAGGTTTCAGTGCATTTACTAATAGCCCTCGGAAGTTGCAAAACAAGCCACTTACTTTATCAAATCACTACAAAAAAGTGGAACAAGAAATAACTGGATAGATCATCTGGGACTGAGGCACTAGAAATAACAAAAGCCCTGACAGATCCAAGCAGCACTATTGTAGTCTTGTTCTCCTAAGCTAGTTACACCCCCAGACAAGTTGTACCAGTGCAGCTATAATACTGCCAAATATCCAATAATGTGGAAAATTGCTCAGGTATGTCCTGTCCACAAAAAGCAGGACAAATTCAAACCAGAAAAATAGCACATTATCAGTCTACTCTAATCATCTTCAAAATGACAGAAGGCAGTGCAATAGACTGCCTCTTACTCAGCAATAATCTGCTCATCAAAGCTCAGTTTGTGATCCATTGAGGACAATTCATCTCCTGACCTCATAAAAGTCTTGGTCCAAAAATAGACACAAAAACTGAATTCCAGAGGTGAGATGACTGTGACTTCCCTTGACATCATGACAGCATTTTACTAAGTGTGACAATGAAAAGTACTAACAGAATTGAAGGCAATGTTGGTGTCATATGTCGTACAAATAGAGATGCTAATTCTGATGGAGGTCTTCAAATCAGCCCCAAACATTGCACGAGCAAATCATCAAAACATTCTCCCCATTCCATCTATCAGCAGTTGCTTCATTAATCGCCTTCCCTTAGTCACAAAGTCAGAAATACAGATGTTTGCTGATGATTGAGCAATGTACTGTTTCTATTTGCAACTGCTCAGATACTGAACCAGCCTATGCCTGCATGCAATAATATGTGGACAATTACATGTGTATGTGTAAAGAACATTCATGCCACAAAATTGCCAGGCAATGACTGTATACAACATGAGAGAATCAAACCATTTCTCATTGATGTTCAATGATGTGACCATTGTGAAATCCCCCATTATCAAAATCGTGCAGGTTATCATTGATCAGAAACTTAAGTCCAAACAAATAAAGTCCATGGTCACAAGAACAGATCAGATGCTCATGAAACTTGGTTAACATCTGGAACAAAGTGACCAATAAACACTCACTCCTTCCACTACCAATGACAGTGGACTGTGTAGGTTCACAAGATGCACTTCATAAGCTGCCAAGATAAGTATGCTCATAGTTTGTCTAATGCTCAAAATAAGTGTTAACTGTTGTTCTTTATGCAAAGGGTAGAAAGTCACAAGAATATGCATGTTTTTAATTATTTACACAGGGTGCTCTTTTGTTGCTGTATTGATGTATTTGGCCTGTATCCTATTAAATATGACAACTAAAAGAACACAAATTGTCGACAACACAAGCTGCGACCATGCCATATTCTGACCTTCATATTAGGTGGGTGGTAGGCTGGATATGTAAGAAACACACTCCTGGGGTGGAATCTTTTGCTGACTCTGGTGGTGAGCTTGGTAGTGTGAAGGCCTTGTAATGAGTCAGGACAGTGGCATACCTCAACCAGTAGCTGAAGATGATTCAAAGTTATAATGGGCCATATTGTCATTTGTTACCATCCCTTGTAGGGATTGTCAGGGATGTCTGCAACCAAAGGTGACTGCAGAACGTGTAATGGTTATGTGTTAATTTAAGAAATTATTGCATGATAATGGGTGTATATATATCATATATACATTTATTTTTTATTCTCTCCTGGGATGTGGGTGTCACGGATTGGCCAGTATTTATTGCCTGCCCCAGTATAAGTAGTCAATGTGGTCAGAGTTTTGTGACATGTGAATTGAAATAAAACTCTGACTGGAAGAGTACATGCCTGGATTCTGTCTAACCAACCTTTAATGTCTGGTGTCTATTAGTTATTAAAGGATAATATTGGAGCTAGTTGTTACTCAGTCTTACACTTATTTGCAGAGTTAAACTTTGCAATCATAGATTTCCTCACTTAACCAAACTACAACTTCAAAAAAAATGTTTTATTGTATGTGCTCAAGTGAAACCCCGGTTAATTCCCGCTGCCTGAGTACATTGTGAATGTGTATGAGGGTGTGTTTAGAGTGTGTTTGTGTATTATCTGAGTGCACCTATGCACGTGATGTGAGATGATACAGTAAGACAATCTATGACATGGCTATACCACTTCCGCAGCCTGACTGAGGTGTACCAGTACCAGCTGTGTTCAAATCAAGACAACGCAGAGATTAGGAATTTTAAAATAAGGCATAACAACTCAGTAAAGCTGAAAATACAAGGAAACTAATGGAATTTTAGTGAAAAGCTTAAATGAAGATGATGTAATTTTCTGGCCTGAGGTTTGGATTTAGATTTGACATGCTCACCGTCACTCCAGCATTAGCTGGATCTTTTCCAGCAATCAGAGCATAAATGGATGCCAGTGCCTCCTCTTGACTTTTGCCTTTAAATCTCTTTGGAGCAAGTTCTGCCAGGGCCATTTTAAACTCTTCGAAGGTGATTACTCGAGCTGACTTGGATCTGAAATTAAAACAAAACTATAGGATAACCGCCCCTCTATTCAGCTTTGATATAAAAAAAAGACTAGGCTAACTTTATTCTTTGTATGATCATTTGACCATTGGCACATTTTAGGTATCTTGTTGGCCCAGATTAAAGCCTGCAATGTTTCTCATGCCATATTGCTGTTTAGAGATTGTGAATCATGGGTTTCCCAAACATCCTGTAGATTTTAACTAAAGAGTGACTTTAGCTTTTCTTCCTCTCAGTTTCCTGCCCACAGCCATTCTGAATGGTGGCCTGGCAAACAAGAAATCCCACAGCACAAAGCCACACCTGGATTTACCCAAGAGCACGTGGGTCAAATTGCAAGAGATTATAGGGTGGGGAGGTGGGAGAGTGGGTGCAGTCTAAGATCTCCATTTAAGGTGTCAGGGTAGTGAGGGTTGGGAAATTGTCTCTCCCTTTCAAGTCATACAAAAAATGTATGTTTCAACAAGATAACCTCCCATTCCTCAAAACACTAGAGAATGAGTAATTTATTCAATGTCTCCTCGTAACATAATCCTTTGATCATAGGAATTAGTTTAGTGAAACTTTGCTGCACACCCTCTAAGGTAAGTATATCCTTCTAAACCATGAGTCCAAAACTGCACCCGACTCCTTGTGTGGCCTGTGCAGTAGCTTCTACAAAAATAGTTAGATTTCTTTGTGTTTATATGCCATCCCCGATGTAATAAATGTGAACATACTATTTGCTTTGCTGATTGTATTCTGTACCTGAATGTTAATTTTCAGAAATTTAGACACCCAGGTTTCTCTGAAACATAGAAGCACTGAAATAGGAGCAGGAGTAGGCCATTTTGCCCTTCAAGCCACCTTTACCATTCAATATGATTGTGGCTGATCATTCATTCAATAATTTGTTCCTGCTTTCGCCCACCCCCTTTGATCCCCTTAGCCCAATGAATTATATTTAACACCTTGAAAACATTCAATGTTTTGGCCTCAACAGTTTTCTGAGGCAAAGAATTTCGCAGGCTTACCACTCTCACAGTGAAGAAATGTTTCCTTATCTCAGTCCTAAAGGGCTTATCCCATATTCTTAAACTGTGATCCCTGGGTTCTGGATTCCCCTTTCATCAGAAACATCCACCCTACAGTTACCAACATTGTCCTGTCTCTCATTTATAAAGGATTGTGCTTTTTATGTTTCCTACCAAAGTGGACAACTTTATGTTTCTCTATTTTATATTCCACCTACCATGTTCTTGTGCACTCCCTAATCTGTTTCCATTCCTTTTGCAGTCTCTTTGCATTGTCCTCACGGTTTACTTATCCAATTAATTTTGTATAGTCAGCAAACTTGGAAACTTTATAAACTATCCCCTCATCTAACTCATTGATATAGATTATAAATAGCTGGGGCCCCAGCACTGATACTTGTTGGACCTCCTTTGTTAACAGTCACAAAATATCCAGCTTATTCCTGCTGTCAATTTTGTCTCTGCTAACCAATCAGCAATCTAAGCTGATGTTACACCCAACCCCACGACCCCTAATATTTGTGTGATAAAGTCCTACGTGGCATGTCATAATGACAATGAATCCAACAGAATTAATGAGGAAAGACTAAGAAATGGAAATGAGGTAAACTGTAGAGCAAACCTAAGAATTTAGAAGATTTTCCAGGATGCCAGGAGCAGCTCCAGGCATACATAAGAGTGAGACACCGACTTGGTGAAGATACAACAAAGGATCCTATGCATGTTAGTTAGCTGAAATGGCATACTATAGGCAGAGCCAAGCAATCCCACGATCAAGAGATCAAATCAAGAGTCTACAGTCCTCGCGTGTTCATTGATGAATGTTGGTAGACAACTAAATAATCAGGAGTAGGAGGTTTTATAAACATCTTCAATGATCAGAGAGCCTAAGAAGCCAATGCAAAGGATAAAGCTGTACTTTAGCAAGAAAAACCAAGTGATGTTCCATCTGATCCTCCTGCTGAGTTCTCCAGGCTTACAAATACCCAATAATTATCCAATTCGATTCACTCTACAGAAGTTGCTGGAAAGGCTCAGCAGGTCTGGCAGCATCTGTGAAGAAAAATCAGAGTTAATGTTTCGGGTCTGGTGACCCAATTCTGAGGAAGAGTCACCGGATCCAAAACATTAACTCTGATTTTTCTTCACAGGTGCTACCAGACCTGCTGAGCCTTTCCAGCGAATTCTATTTTTGTTCTTGATTTACAGCATCCGCAGTTCTATCGGTTTTTATTTCGATTTACATCCAGTTGAAAGTCTGAGAAAGGCGGAGAGCTGAGACAACATCCAGGCTTTAGTCCTGAACACTTAAGCTCCAGAGCTAGCCACCTACCTAAGCCATTCCGCTACACTTCTGGCTGTCACTGATTTTATGGGAAGACACCCAGGTGTGCCCTGTCCATTAAAAGCAAAACATCCAATTTCTGCTCCATCACCAAAACAAAAGTGTTTAATCAGCTCCTGTTTGAATTCAATTGTGTTATCATGACCAAATCCGCTGCGATCAACATCCTGGGGTCGTTATTAACCAGAAGCCTAATTGAATCTAATACATAAAGTACTATGGGGGCAACAGCAGGGCAGAGGCTGTGGTGAAATTCTGGGGAATTCTGAGTGATTCAACTCCTGACACTCCTGATAGTAAAACTGTCCATCATCTATAAGTCACAGTCACGAGTGTAATGCAATATGCATCATTTGCCTTGAGGAGTTCACAAGGGCAACTAGAGGTAGGGAGTAAACATTGGCCCAGCCAGCAATGCCAACATCCCATGAATGAATTTTTAAAAAAACACACATGAAGTTTGACATCATCTGGGATAAAACAGCCCACTTGATTGGTCCTCATTCACTACCTTGAACATATAGTTCCTCCATCATCAGTACACAGTGTAGTGGTGGGTACCATCTTTAATATGCAATGCACTAACTTCTCAAAAACTTCTTCTCCAGCCACTCCCAAACTCCTGACTTTTAACTCTAGCAGGGGACAATAGGAAAAGGCTTATGTAAACTCCATCATCTGCAAGTCACACACCACTTTCTCTATTAAACTCCTTGAATTCCCTTCCTAACAGCACTGTGAAACTATCTTTATCCCACAGACTACAGTGGTTCAAGAAGGTGGCTCACTACCACATTATTTAGCAAACCTGAGACTAGTAATTAATTCTGTGCTCATGTGCATCAGGACACAGTCAACATTCAATCTTGAGTTGATAAGTGACAAATAACATTTGTACCCACAATCGTCAGGCAATGAGCATCTCAAACAAGACAGAATCTGACCATTGTCCCTTGACATGCAATAGGATCACCATGGTTTAACTCCCCACAACACCCTGGAGACATCACTGACAAGAAACTTAACTGGATCAGTCACATGAATACTGGGTATTCTACAGGGTGTGGTTCAGTTTCTGGGTCCCCAGAACGTTTCAAGCAGCTATGACGTGCAAACCAGGAGTGTGATAGAACAATCCCCATTTGCCTAAAAAACTGCAGCTTCAACAACACTTAATAAGCCCATCATCATCCAGGGCAAAGCAGTCAACTTAGTTCAACAATTTTAGGGCCTAAACTCCCCCATGTCCCAGCCCCCTACTCCACACACCAGGCCTTGTTACCACATAGCCTGCCAATACACACTATCTGTTGTTAGTCACTAATAGTCCCCATTAACAACTATTCACCCTCCCAGCCTGATCATTATGAACTCTTCGTCTATCCGCCAGCTCTTCTCTCTCTTTAGATTCTATCCTATCGTTTACTCCCATCCCGCGCCCCGCCCCCCCCGCCTTATTTTCTGCACATAAACTGATGTTTTCCCAGCCACCATTAGTTCTGAGGAAGGGTCACCGGACCCAAAACATTAACTCTGTTTTTTCTTTCATAGATGCTGCCAGACCTGCTGAGCTTTTCCAGCAACTTTGTTTTTCTTCCTGATTCACAGCATCCGCAGTTCTTTCGATTTTTATAAAGCAGTCCACTTGACTGGTACCACAACACCACCTTAAACATATTGACTGTCCCCATTACTATGCCTGTAGTTACAATATGCAAGATACTCTGCAATGACTCGCCAAGCCATTTTTGACAGTACTTCCTGTATTAATGACCTCAGCACCTAGAAGAACGTAGAAGGACAAAGTGCAGAAGATGGGATTACCATCACCTGCAAGTTTCTCTCTAACTTACACACTGTGCTGACTTGGAAAGATAATTCCATTCATTCATGATCATTGTATTATAACCCCTGGTAATTTCTATAAAACACCATTGTGTGGCTACCTTGACCAAATGGACTACAATGATGCAAGAAGGCAGCTCACCATTATCTTCTCAAGGACAATCAGAGAAGGAAAATGATTGCTGTCTCCTTGTCAGCAATGCTAACCTCCCTTGAAAGAATTTAAAAAATGATGGTGCAGAACTGCTGTCAATTACATTGTATTCCTTCATAATAGGGATGGGCAACAAATGCTGCCTCAGCTAGTGACACCCATGCCCATGAGTGAATAAAAAAAATTCTCTAATCTGATATGTAGCTACGATTGGGAATGCACTGTGTGAAAAATCATGGGCTGCATGTAACTGGATCAATGATCTCAGTTATTGAACTTACAACATTTTCTTTTATGAAGGCATAATTTCAACAAAATAATATTGTTAGTCAATACCTGATACCTACTTCACTTTTGAAAAGAGAATGTCCACATCTGTTGAAGTTACTGTTTTGCCGTCGATGACTTTGCAATCTTTGCAGATTTTGGACCAGTTTTTCCCATTCATTTCATTGCCACTTGAGGCAGTATCCCCATGCATAGCAAATTTTTTAAATGAGTCATGCAAAGCTGCCATATTGCTGGATGTTCCTGCCATTTTTGAGGTCCCACAGCTCGCTTAAGTTGCCCTGTGAACAATAGGAAAACAGGATTTAATGTTTAGGCAATGAGCAGTATTATAAACTGGGAAGAAAGGGTTGCATATAAATGATTGAAGGTGTTGGGAAAGATTTATGGCCATAACATTAGTGCAGCTTTACTGTTTTCTTTTTGTAAGGTGGTACTTTCACCTCTGATTTAGAGGTTTGTGGGTTCAAACCCCATTCTGGATGCTTAAGAACATAATCTAGTATGGAACAAACAGAAATTACTGGAAAAACTCAGCAGGTCTGGCAGCATCTGTTGCAGAGAAATCAGAGTTAATGTGTTGGGTCCAGTGATCCTTTCAGAGAACAAAAGAGTTTTTCCAGCAAGTTTTGCTGAACCTTTCCAGAAATTTCTGTTTTTGTTTCTAATTTCCAACATCTGCAGTTCTTATGGTCTAGTATGGTTTGTGTGTGCAATAATGAGGGAGTGCTGGACGGTTGGAGATACCATCTTTCAGATATGACATTAAATCAAGTTCCTCCTGCTTTCTGAGGTAGATGCAATCTTTGCAACAGAACTGGGGAGTTTGTACTTTACCATTGCCAACATTTATCCATCAATATCTACAAAAATAATCTGGTCGTTTAATTCATTGCTATCTGCTCAATGCAAATGTACTGCCATGTTCCTTGCAACAGTGCCTTTAATAGAAAAATACTTCACGGACCACAAAGCACTTTGAAATATCCTGATACCAAGAGAAGTGCTATAAAACATGCAAGTCTTCCTTTTATCTTTTGGAATACTTAATTCATTTTTGATTCACGCAAAGTAATGATATCTGGAGAGAGTCATCATTAATAGAATCAAACTGATAGGAGCCTGGTTTTGTTTAGTGCATATCACTTTCGTCAGAAGCATAAAGCATAAGAGCTGAATATTTTTTTAAAAGATGATGAAAGAAGCTAGCCTTGGCATTATGTCAATGTATATTCTTTGCATGTCATCAAGCATCCCTGGCTGAGGTCAAATGAGAGAATTCCCCATTTGCTCGTGTCATACCTGACACCCATAAAATTTAAGTTTATCAGAGCTACAACATGGCTGCTAGAGTGTCTTATATCTCTGGATCACTAATTCAGGTCTTTGGATTACTAGTTCAGTAACAATCATATGAATCCATATCTTTCACACATAAATATGCTTAAAAGAATGTATTAGGATATAATAAATGATTCCTACATTGGTGTGACAGCTTTACTTTTTAACCCTTGCAATTCTGTGGTGTAATAGGAATTCTTTAACGTGATCATACTAAGGGTAAAAGTACATTTGGTTTAAAATTTTAATGTTAAAACTGATAAATTGGAATTATTCCAGTTTTTAAACTGCTCTCAGTTGGCTCACCTAATGTCTTAAAGCGACTACAGAAAGGTCCCTTTCCTTCTGCGATGATGTTTAAAGGGGAGCACTCAGATTGCAAGTACTGGCATGGCCATAGCAACACAAGTGTGACATCAGAGCTGTGTAATAAGTAATAATGTCTCCTGTCATCAATAACTCGCAGTTATTGTGAGTACCGAAAACTGATTTGCTGCAAGGCATTTCCCTAAATATGATGCTGTCCTTTTCCCACAATCATCTTCCACCCTGTAAGATTTTGACATTATCATGCTGAAATCAAATAAGTAACTCATTTGTTAATGTTTTCATTTTGATGTGCTCCAGTCATCTCATTAAACCAGCTCACTCAGCAGCTATTGAAATCTAAATACAGTGGAGCAGGGGTTGTTGTAAACAAGGCAGAGTCTTTATGTCTAGTTGACTTCCAAAACTGTTGCTCCCTAGCATAGCACGACCAATACGGTAGTCGGCAGTACAGTGGAGGAAGCTGATAAGTTTCATCAGAGAAGAAAGAATGGGACATTAGTCTTGAACAGGCTAAAGGCTAACTTAATGAAGGTCTTTGGAATTACTTCATGTGTTGACAGAATAGAGGGGGAAAGATGTGTTTAGACCCAATGATGCACATGGGAATTTGGGAAGAGGATGATGTTGCGATGTGCAATTGACTTCTGCGTAGTCTCACTGAGGAAGACAGCACACAATTTCATACTGCCTGCTTACCTACATAATGGTAGCATTGTATTGCAGGGTGATTAGCATGATGCACAGTTAGTCTGCACCTCTTAAAGGCAGCCTGCATCTTTTAAACAGGAGATACATAGTTTCACATAGACTTTGGTGGAAAGTAGTGGACAGAAAATGCAGCAAAATGCCACAACGAGAGGACTCAGATTTCTGGATGCAATGCAAAGAGGTCTTAGTGATGGAGGCTAAAAGGAAATGATTGATACATGTGCCTTTTCAGCCATGTCTCCAAAGGGGATCAAGAAACCCTCAAGACATAGCTTGTGAAGGGACTGATCAGGGAGGTCAATTATGTGAATTCATGGAGATAGTTACTCTGCCAATAAAAATTGAATGGCCTCACATAAGTAGTCAAGGTCAGTATATGTACCTTCAAAGGACATCTCTTACACACCAAGCCACCAACATCTCTCAATGTTCAATGCATCACAATCTCATCACTTACTCATTATCAATTAGGACTGAGTTGGTTGTTAAAATCTCCATAGAGGCTAACAGCTTTTTAAAAACTATATTTTTCCAGCTACTGACAAAAGAACTGAAGGGGAAAAAAATTTCACATTTTAAGAATTTGACGATAACAAATAAATTTAAATCAACATAGATTAAACACTGCACAACTGCAATAACTCAGGAAACCCAACTGGGAAAGAATATCATTTATTGTTGAACGCCAAAATAGAGCATGTACTCATGGAATACACAATTAGTCCCAGCCCAGGACAAACACTTTATTTTTATTGGAAAAGCTCAGCAGGTCTGGCAACATCTGTGAAGAGAAATCAAAGTTAACATTTCAGATCCGGTGACACTTCCTCAGAACTGATGGTAGCTAGGGAAATGTCAGTTTATATGCAGAAGATAGGGTGGGGGGAAAGGGTGAGGAGTAAACGATAGGTAGGGTTAGAACCCAAAGAGAGAGAAGAACAGTTGGACTGACGAAGGAGTTGATAATGATCTGGCTGGGAGGGTGAATAGCTGTTAATGGAGACTGTCAGTGGCCAACAATAGGTAGTGTGTAATGGCAGGCTATGTGATAACAAGGCCTGGTGTGTGTGTAGTAGGGGGCTAGGACATGGGGGAGTTCAAGCCCTAGAACAATTGAACTCAATATTGAGTCCAGAGGGCTGCAGGGTCCCCTAGAGGAAAATGAGGCATTGTTGTTCCAGCTAGTGCTGAGCTTCACAGGAGCACTACAGCAAGCCTGAGAGGGAGATGTTGGCCTGAGAACAGGGTGGGGTGTGTTAAAGTGGCAGGCAATTGGAAGCTCGGGGTCTTTTTTGCGGGCAGAACATAAATGTTCTGTGAAGCAGTCACCCATACTACGCTTCTTTTCCCCAATGCAGAGGAGACTACATTGTGAGCTGCGAATACAGTAGACTAGATTGTGGGAAGTGCAGGTAAAGTGCTGCTTCACCTGGAACGTACGTTTGGGCCCTTGGACAGAGGACATAAATGGGCAGGTGTTACAGCTTTGGCATTTGCAGGGGAAGCTGCCGTGGGGCTGTGGCGGGGGTGGGGGGTAGGTGGCAGGGGGCAGGGGCTGGGCGGGTCATGTTGGGAGCAAAGGAAGAGTGGACCAGTGTGCCCTGGAGAACTGTCCCTGTGGAAGGCGGACAAGGGAGGGGGAGGGGAAAATGTTTCTGGTGGTGGCATCTCGCTGGAGGTGGTGGAAATGGCAGCTGATGATCTTCTGGATGTGGATGCTGTTGGGATGGTAGGTAAGGACAAGGGGAACCCTATTGCTGTGGCAGGAGGGAAGAGAGGGGTTGAGGGTGGAAGTCCGGGAGATAGGTAGGGTCTGTTTGAGGGCCCTGTCAACAATGGTGCTGGGGAATCCTCGGTTGAGGAAGAAGGTGGACATTTTGGAGGCTCCTTTGTCGAAGTTGGCCTCATTGGAATATATGCGACGGAGATGGAGGAACTGGGAGAATGGAATGGAGTCTTTACAGAAAATAGGGTATGAGGATATATAGTCCAAGTAGCTGTGGGAGTCGGTGAGTTTATAGTGGATATTAATGGCCGGTCTATCCCCAGAAATGGAAGCAGAAATGTTGAGGAAGGGAAGGGAGGAGTCAGAGATAGACCAGGTGAAAGTGAGGGTGGGGTGGAAATTAGAGGTGAAATTGATGAACATTTCCAATTCCAGACAAGAAAGGGAAGCAGCACCAATGATATCATTGATATATTGGAGAAAGATTTATGAGTGGGCTTGGAATAGAACTGTAACAAGGAATGTTCCATGTAGGACAGGGTACATATGAGTACCCATGGTGGAGAGTCCTTCATGGTAACCTCAGCCAGTCACTGGAATTGAACTCACACTGTTGGCATCTCTTTGTATTGCAAATAGCCATCCAGCCAACTGAGCTACACTTACCTGAGCCCCTAGACCTGCTTTGTTTCTTTTATATCCACACAACTGAGTATTTTTCCGTCCCACTGAATCTGCTTTATATTTTCCAATCAGCCTGTTCAGAGATGTTATTATATGCCAAGGCTGCCTGGCTTAAAGATAGAGATTCTATCACTATGTCACACAAGTCCAGTCTGGATTTATTTTTTTTTAAACTCACAAGCTTCCAACTCAAAGATGAGTCAGGATCTCCAGTACCATCCCTAAATACCACTCCCTGGGACTGTAGGTGTACTTTGCAAATAACCTGTTCAGAGATATTATTGCACAGTTCTGGAGCTGGTGGGACCTGAACCTAGGGCCTCTTGACTTAGGGGTAGAGACACTTCAACTGCACTATGAGGGCCCTCCCCCATGTGGATCTACTTTATTTTCCATTGAAGTGTTATCACACACAACTAAATAACTTTCCCACCACCAAATCACTGTGACTTTTTCGTTTGTTTTTAACTATTAACTACCACCAGTAATCACTCATGCAGCCAATTGGAAGTTTACATTGCAAAGTCCAATATGGGAAATGCATCAAAAGTGAGGAGGAGAATTAGGGAGAGTGGGAAGGGGGTAATCAAAATGAAAATAGAGGGGGGAAACCTACTGCACCTGGTATTCCCAGGAGGTGTCCCATCTGGGTTCTAACCAGGCCTGAGTCTACTGAGCTTCTGAAATCAGGCATTTTCAGACTAGTATGGTCACAGGCAGGGATCTGCATTTTTTTAAAACTGTGTCTAGAGAGGTCACTATACACCGCTGAAGCGGTTGGGATGTGAATCCAGGTTTCCTGGTTCAGAGGTTGGAACACTATTGTTGTATCACAAGAACCCTAGGGGATCCACTTTTCTTGTCTGGAAGTGTTATTACATACAACCAAACAGCTTTCCCACCATCAAATTATTGTTTTGTAAACTATTAACCACCAGTAATCATCCGTGCAACGAATCTAAGGGGACGTGACAGCCTAGTGGTATTATTGATGGATTATTAATCCAGAAACTCAGGTAACATTTTGGGGACTCAGTTCAATTCCTACCATAACAGATAGTAGGATTTGAATTCAATAAAAATCTGGAATTAAGAGTACAATGATGATCATGAATTACCATTGTCAATTGTTTGGGGAAAACCCCACTTGGTTCACTAATGTCCTTTAGGGAGGGAAACTGCCATCCTTACCTGGTCTGCCCTACATGTGACTCCAGACTCTCAGCAATGTGGCTGTTAAATGTCCTCAGGGCAATTGGGCAAGGCAATAAATGCTGGCCTAGCCAGCAACACTCTCATCTCACAAATGAATATTTAAAAAGTAAGAAGTTTCCATTCAAAGCCCATTGTGGGCAATTTGAACAATCAAAATGTAGGGGAGAGATAGGGTGGGAAAGGACTAAATCAAAACGGAGATTACAAGACCTACAGATGCTGGAAGTCAGAGTTGATACAGTGCAGAGCTGGAGGAACACTGCAGGTCAGGCAGCAGAAAAGCAGGAAGGGTCCCAACCCGAAACATCGACTTTCCTGCTCCTCTGAAACTGCGTGACCTGCTGTGTTCCTACAGCTTCACACTGTATTGAATCAAAATAGAGTTGGAAATAAAGCACTGTATTCCCTGCAGTGCCCATCTCTCTCTCTCTAAAGGGGGAATCAGCTCTATTTTTATTTAAATCAATATATTCAGGAATGTTTTAACATACCTATCAGGTGAGACTTAGAACCCGGGCCTCCCAGTTCAGAGGTATGGACACTACTACTGTACCACAACGCCTGACTGGGGTCCTACATTTTTAAATTTATTTTTGGTTGCACTGTAGGTCAGTGGTTAGCACCACTGCCTCACAGCACCAGGGAGCTGGGTTCAATTCCAGCCTCAGGTGACTGTCTGAGTGGAGTTTGCACATTCTTCCCATGTCTTTATGGGTTTCCTCTGGGTGCTCCGGGTCCAACCTAGAGTTCAAAGATGTGCAGATTAGCTGGGTAGCCATTGGAAATGTTAGGTTACAAGGATGGGGTGGGACTGGATGGGATGGTCTTCAGAGAGTTGGTGTGGATCCAATGAGCTGAATGGCCTGCTTCTACACTGTAGGGATTCTATGATTCTACATGGGATCTGCTTTATTTCACCTCTCTATATTTGGATATGTTAACACACACAACCAATCGACTTTCCCACCATCGAATCACTTTGGTTTTTTTTTTTGAAAAAATCAACCGATGATGCTAAAAGACCATAAGGAAAAGAACAGGAGTAAGTGATTTGGCCCCTTGAGCCTACTCTGCCGTTCAATACGATTATGGTTGATCTGATAATCCTCACATTCACTTTCTTGCCATTTTCCATTAAGCTTTGATTCTCCCACTGATCAAGAATATATGTAGCCTTAAATATACACGAGGACTCCACCCCCATAGCTCTCTGTTGCAGAGTGTTCAAAGCCTCTCAATCCTCGAAGAGAAGAAATTCCTCTGCAAAGGGACCTGCAAGACTGACATTAAGAGAATACACCATGTGCATAATATTGGAGATATTCTTGGATAAACGTGTCATGGAATGGTGGCTTTTTAGGATAATGTGATGATCTGTAGCAGAGGGGATAAGGTTGAGGCTTATTGATTGGCTGTGATGTGGTGATAGGATCTCAGAGTGTGAGTAGTTGTTAATGGACACTTATCCAGAGGTGAGATTATCTTTACAATCATTAGCAGTGCTAGCAACCTCACCCTGTGGTGACAGGTCTGCTGGCACAGTTTGGTTACTACCTCCTTGGCAAAATGGGATCAATTTTATACTTGGCTAGATTTCGAGCAGGATGGAGAAGTGCATAGCAGCTGTGTATTTAGTAATAGAAGATTCCAACAACAGTGAGTTGTGGGGGCAAGATTTATAGCAGTGGGACCAACGGAAGGTAATTTGGATTGGATTTTATTTTTCTTTACAGGGCTAGATTAGTAGTGGGGCAAGGAATAGGTTCATACGTAGGTTCTAGGACAGATGATAAGTGAGTGTGGTAGGTCTGAGGTTCTGTTTGTTCCAGGAGGAAGCAGCGGGAGGGAGTGTTGTAGTGATAATATCAAATCCAACAATAGCAGCTAAAATGAATTGATCAATATGTAAAATAAATTTAGCTCCATGGCCACCATTACAGAGACTATCTTCAATTGTTGTAAAAAAAATTTGATTCACTAACGTCCACTTAGAGAAACAAATCTGCCAATAATACCTAGCCTGGCCTGCATGTGACTCCAGTTAAACAGTAATGTAGTTGGCTCTTCACTGCCATCTGAGATGACCTAGCAAGCTATTCACCTATTAAGGGGAAGCAATGGCCTAATGGTATTATTGCTGGGCTGTTAATCCAGGGACCTAGGTTTGAATCCTGCCACAGTAGATGGTGGAATTTGAATTCAATAAAATATATCTGGAATTAAGAGTATAATGATGACCATTGTCAGGAAAAACCCACTTGGGTTCACTAATGTCCTTTAATGAAGGAAACTGCCATCCTTACCTGGTCTGGCCTACATGTGACTCCAGACCCACAGCAACGTGGTTGACTCTGAACTGCCCTCTGGACAAAATGGGAATGGACAATAAATACTGCCTAGATATTGACACCCTCATCCCATTAATGAATGAAAAAGGAGCTTCAAGGGCACTTGGGGATGGATAAAAAAAACTTGCCAGTGTTGCCCACATCGAGTGAAAGAATAAAAGGGGAGGGAAAAAGATGCCACTTGGCCTTCCGAGATTTTCCTAGCCCTTCGATTTTATTTCAGGCATATTATGGCTTGGAATACAACTTCACTGCAGAACCTAGGGAAGGATACAGATGCTAAAACATTCTACGCTACCCAGTCTAATTGGCCCCTTGGCCATCAGAAACTGGCCTGACAGCATAATCAAATAGCCATAGTTATAAAAAAATTAATCGATTTGGTAAGAAGCACATAGGGAGTTACTTTACTGTAAAGAGTAGCATCTTGACCTCTGGAAAAGAAGCTCAGGTTTGAGTCCTACACCAGGACTTGATCGCCAGGGAAGGTGCATCCATAACATGGCCAAACAGGTTGAATATCAACCTGAAAATCTTTCCAATGGCGAGTGGCGAGGGTGAGAGAGATTCCTGGTCAGCCATACAAAGGAAAGAAATCGGAGTCTCTACCATTACTAGCCATAGCTTCAGACTACAACAAGAATGTGGAAGTGCAGGTCTCATTAAAAACTCCAAGTGAACTACAACTCCATCATCAGGGACTCAGTGCAGAACAGGTCAATAGCTGGATTTGTTTGCCTACTCCTGTACCTTGTGCAACAAAGAATCCCCAATACCTTTGCCACAAATTGTCAAATTCTGGCAATAAGATGGGTACAATTGGACTTGGCTAGCTCAGTCTCATCTTGTCAGTCATCTTTGAGCTTGAAGGCAACAAGTTTCCAGTTCTAAAATTAAAACAGACTATGTAATTACAGTATACAAAGTTGAGCAGTGTCATAAGTTAATTCACTCGTTCATGGATACCTCGATTTTTGCAACTTTCATTTGGCTATCTGGCTGAACTATTGTGCAATTCACAGCTGAGTTAACAGACTTAATGACTTGCAGATCAATCAAATGCTTGACAATGGTTAAAGTATTTATAGTTATATAATAATTGGCTGTGTTTTTGTGCTCCCACCAACCAAATTGCTTGTTCAGCTATTGTACATTAGTAGTTTCAATAGCTATCACTAATGTTGAATGAAAACAGGCACTGCTCCATATATTTATTGAACAAATGCTTCCTAAATCAGAAAGCATGTGAAAGTAAAAACTTTCAGTTGTCAGGCTTGATTGCATCATCTTGAACTCTAAGGCAACTAACTAAATTCCTTTAATATTGTATCTGAAGGCACAGCAACATACTCCCTTCAAACAGCAATTACATTGAAACTAGCTTGGTATAGACTCTGTTTTATTAAAAGCAGCTGCCTGATTGTTTGCATGGATCTTTGGTTTCCATAGAGATGCATATACACACAGACTGATTACTTACTGCTGGCCAGATTCATGACCCAATTGTAACTTACATTTCCTTTGGGAGCTTCACCCAAAAGAACTTGATAAATGTTTTTCAATTGAAGCCAAAAAACACAATGCATTATTTAGAGATCAGTAATGTTTTCAGGTTATTTTAATCTTGAAGAACATTCCAGGGTTGAAAGTATTTCTGTTTTGTTCTGAGACTATGATTTTCCCATAAACTACTGGCTGAATGCGAGTTATAGACGGTGCTGTTTGTGGTGATACTTTTCACCTTCAAGAACCTGCACCCTAACACCAAACTTACATTAGATCCTTTTCTCCAAGTGAAAGAGAAAATGTCAAAAATCACCAATCATTTATTACAAAATAATTTATTGATAACAGTTACTAACAGAAAATTCAACAGAACATATGGATAGAAACTTGAATTATTAGTAAATTGTCATTGTGCTATATTTGCCCTGCTTAATGTGCGAGTACATCAATATCTTTAACTCAAAACAAGATGGATGAAGAAAGTTACAAACAGAGCCATTGTTTTCAATAACCTTCATGCCATTTTGACTAATTTTTACACATGTTGGGTGATGAAATAGTGATATATTTCAAAGTACACATTCAGCAGACAAAGTACTTGGGAGAGTCCAACAAAAACTGGATATTTCCCAGGCTAAAAGCATTCCTTAAGAAACTATTAACTATTAACTGAAAGTGTTTGGCCTCATGTACTCTCACATCATGAGCTGGAAAGACTTAAATTGATATGACCATTATCAAAACAGCAAACCCAGTTGCATTGCACTTGCCTCCCTAAAGCATAGGTTACTTTACTAAATGGATGTCAAAAAGGGGGACGGTGATGTAGTTGGAATGTTACTGGACGACTAATGCAGAGCCACAGGCAAATGCTCTGGCGATATGGAAGATGCAGCAGCTGGTAGAATTTAAATTCAGTTAATAATGAAAATGAAAGCTCATCTCAGGTGATGGCAACCATGAGAACTGTAATTGATTGTTGTTAAAAACAAAAGCCATCTGCTTCACTAAAGTCCTCTGGGGGAGGAAATCTGCTGTCCTTACCTGGTCTGGCCTGTCCATCACTCCAGCCACACAGCAATGTGGTTGATCTTTAACTACCCTTCAAGTACTCCAGCAATTCCCTCCACCCCACCTCCACCCACTCCCAGTTCACAGACAATTAACTGAGGGAAACAAATACTGGCCTTGTCAGCAACACTCACATTCCATGGACAGATAAAATAGAAAGGTTACTGTGGGCTCATGGCTTCTATAGATTAAGACATAATTTTGTGAAGTTCTGCTCTTGATGTTATAGAGTTATACAGCATGGAAACAAACCCTTTGGTCCAACCAGTCCATGCTGAACATAATCCCAAACTAAACCAGTCTCATCTGGCCCATATCAATCCAATCCATTCATGTACTTATCCAAATATCTTTTAAACATTGTAATTGTGCCCACATCCAGCACATCTTCAGGAAGTTAATTCCACACATGAGCCATCCTGTGTGTAAAGTAAGTTGCTCATGTGTTTTTTAAATCTCTCTCTTCTCACCCGAAAAATATGTTCCCTAGTCTTGAAATCCCCCATCCTACAGAAAAGACACCCGCTATTAAACCTGGTGTTTATTCACCACATGGGGGTAGGACCTGCTAAAATTTGCTATGTTGTTTGTTTTGTCACATAGTTACTATTTTTAACCTGGAGGAAAGGAGTGGGGTTAAATTGGCATAGGGTGAGTAACCAACATGATTCATTCATATGGAGGGCAAACAATGCCACTCACTGGATGGGTCAAATGCCGTGTTTCAATGCAATGCCATGCGGCTTTTGGATTGAGGAATCTTCTGAAGCAGACTTATTTCCTGGAACAATCTGCGCTAAAACTGACTCCAACATTGTTGTTTTGGATGGCAAGGAAATGTTGAATTGCAAAAAACACAACAGTTGCCTCGGCAATGAAGTCTGCAAATTGTTTTTCAAACATTAAGCCTACTTTCAATCATGAAACAATAAAAATAAATGAAAGCAACAATGATGGCTGACAATCTGAACATATCAATATCAAATGTTGCACTATATCAAAAGCTCTGGTAATAATTGTCTTTAAAAAATGCCTCTGACATGCACTGGAAACTCACAACGCAGTATTGCACATTTTCCACCTGCAAGTTACTGCCCATTAAATCAATGTTTGCAGGATTAGAGGCCATGAATGAACAGTTTTGTGAGATATGCTTCCGATATGTCAATAGAAGATTGCATCAAAAATTGTAAGCCATGATCATTTTTTTCCTTTATAGGGTATTTAACAGGTCTTAGTTGGAAACTAATGTTCAAGCAACTATTTCGTAAAAGTTTTGTTTCAAACTACAGATATTCTTTCATATAACATAGCATGAAATATTGCTTCCAACATCATTAGATACTTCAACATTAACTTCTATATGGTGTAAAGAATGTTTTTACTTTAGTGATATACAGCCACTCATATCAAATACATACGTATTCAACCTTAAACACAATGTTATCCTGGTTATTTTAAATATGATAATGTCACCAGAAAAATATTGTAAAATACTTGGTATGTTCATACAAGAAAATGTACCTTTTATTGTTAGAATATTATTCTGGATTTAAAACTTTAGCTTGTAAAGAAGAATGACTTAATTATTTTTAATATGTCTTCATATTAAAAAGGTTTACCATTGCTTACAACAGACCAAGAAAGCGGTTTCTGACATTACTTCTCTTTTGCTTTCTCATTGTAGGTCCCAGCTCCTTTGTAAGCTCCCACATAGCCTGTTCTTTCTATTATATCTTCTCGACCAATTTTCCCTTTGCCTTTGCCATCTTGATCAAAACGTTCTTTATGGGAGCCTGTATATTTAGATGTATCTGTTAATCTGTCAACAGCACCAGTCTTTGTTACTTTCTAGGAAGGAAAAGAAGTTTCATTGTAAGACAAAGTCACAGTAGGTCCATGTTTCTGATGGCAAGTCCATACTCCATATTTTAAGTTTTGCCTGAGTTAAGTGACTATCCCTTTAAGTGCCAAATACAAATACACACTTCTTACAAAAACATCAAAAAACAAGATGTACAACTCTGCAGAAACTGCTGTGACAAAACTTAAGAAACCTGTTTAATAAAATTACGTGATCCATAAGGACAAGATAATCAACAAATGCCACAGCTATACTAATTTATATTTATTTGAAGAAGGGATCTGGACTAAACAGGCAATGTTAGTATTTCCTGCTGGACCGTAATAGCTCGCCAAGATGGTTGGAGTGATCAGCCTTTTAACCTGCCGCAGTCAGTCTGATGTAAGTGCTCTCACAGTCATGTAAGGGGTGAAGTTCCAGAATTTCGACCAGGTATTCATGAAGGTACAGTTATAAAAACAGAAGTTGCTGGAAAAGCTCAGCAAGTCTGGCAGCATCTGTGGAGAGAAATCAAAGTTAACGTTTTGGGTTCAGTGACCCTTCCTCAGAATTGAAGTCAGAATAGTATTTGACTAGAAGGGAAACTTGGAGATGGGGCACTCCCATGTACCTACTGTCCTTACCCTTCTGGGTGCTAGAAAAAAAAGAGGGTTTGGGATAGATGCTGGAATTTTGGCATTTGAAAGGTCCACACTGCAGCTGTAGTGAGAGGTAGCGGACAGAATACAGGTTTAAGGCAGTGAGATGTCACTTGAGCAGGCTGCTTTGTTGTGGGTAGTGTCAAGCATATTTTGCGTGCTGTTAGTTCTTGGGAATTCCAATTAAACTGCACCGTCTGCATAACTGGTCAATTGTACTCAAGGTTGAATGCCCTTTGCTGAGGAGTGACCTTTGTGGATAGGTGATGCTTCATTAACACAGAAATCAGTACCCTACAAAAGATTAATCCTTCCATTCATTCAGCATCACAATTGTTTATATTCAAATGTCTGTCATTAAGAGCTTTGTATTTAAAACCAGGAACAGTGAAAAAATTGTATCAGAGATAGTAGGAACTGCAGATGCCGG